GACTAGACTCGACTATTTCGGGAGACTTTTCTCGACTATTTCGGGAGACTTCTCTCTCTCTTTTTTTTAGTTTTTCGTCCACAACTCGCATGTCAGGGGACACGCCCGACCTAACACGAGCCAGCTGCGCGCAGGAGTGGCCCCTCGCCGGAGCTGCCCTCCGGTGCAGGCCCTCGGGGCTCGAGGGACGACGGTCACTGCAAACGGGGGGCAGGAGGAGGAGGAGGAGGAGGAGGAGGAGGAGGAGGAGGAGGAGGAGGAGGGAGGTGAGGAGAAGGCGGAGGAGGAGGAGGAGGAGGAGGAGGAGGAGGAGGAGGGCGGAGGAGGAGGAGGAGGAGGAATTGCCATTGCCACGCCGACGCGTGCAAAGGCCCCATCCGACGGGGAGACCTTCGCGCCTTCAGCCACACCCTCGCGCACAAACTCTCCTACCACCCGGAGTGCGTGGAGGGCGGACTCGGCCCCTACGACAACGTGGTCGGCACGGAGAGCCTCGCGCAGGCGGCGCAAGACAAGGTGCGAGCCTTCTGCGATCGGCCGGGGAGGACCACCCGCGCGCAGTACGTTGGCGACGCGCAACGGGCAAAGAGGATCCGGCACGCAGGCGCGGACCCGGACGGCCACCAGCTGGGCGACGGGGACCCGGATGAGCTGCCCGAGAGCTACGATCCCGCCGGCGGGGCACGCCCTGAGCCAGCGCCAGACCTGCCCAACCTGCCTTGGTGGGATTCAGTCTCTTACGACAGCCTGGGGGACGACGTGCCCACGGTGGTCAGAGTGCCAAACGAGGTCTGCCACGCCTTGGCGCTTTTACGGGGGCGGGTCGCCCAGACGCTGCTGACGGCGCAGTCCGCCGGGGATGGGGCCACGCAGCGACGCGCCGAGAAATTTTTCACATTCTTCGACCGTGTTCTCCTTCACCGGAACCAGAAGCAACGCGGAGGCAAGACCGTGAAAGGCAGAGGGCTTAGCCAGGAGCTCACCAGGAGGCTGCGCCTGGCCGAACGGGGCGACTGGGCCGCCCTCTGGCGAATCGCCGCCTCCTCTGGCGTCCGGCGCGCCGCCCTCCCCGAACGCCAAGCCACGGCCGAGCAGCAGGCAAAACGGGTGGAAACGCTGGTCCGAGAAAACTTGGTTAGTAAAGCCATGGCCAGCGCCACCCGCCCCGCCGCCACGGCCACGGGCGACGGCGTCCACGCAGCCCTGCAGCGACTGTTCCCAGAGGGCACCCCGGCAGTGCTGAACGGACAAGCGCCGCAGGCGCCAGACCAGAACACGCTGCAAAGGCTCACGGCCTCCGTCTCCAGGCACATCGGACGTAGCCCCCGGCGCTCCGGGCACGGCCCGAATGGTTCCCGATTCGAACACTGGCGCACTTTGCTCTGCGACGGCGCCGCCCGGGAGGCCTACGCCAAAGTCGTCGTCCTTTTTCTGTTCGGGCAACTCAGCGAGCAGGCGATGGCGGCGAACCTCGGGGCGCGCCTCAATGCCCTTCGCAAGCCCAACGGGGGGCTCCGCCCAATCGCTTGCGGGTGCGTCCTCCGGCGGCTTGCTGGCCGCGCAGCGTGCGAAATCTTCGGCGAGGGGATCAAGCGCGGCTGCGGGCGATTCCAGTACGCCGTGGGCACGCAGGCGGGATGCGAGGTCGTCCACAAGACGCTGGTGGCCCTCACCGAGGCGTTCCCGCAGGGAGTGGTCCTCGCGTTTGACGCCACCAACGCTTTCAATTCTGTCCCACGGCAACGGATTTTAGACGGCGTGGCGCGGCGGGCCCCGGACCTCCTGCCGACGGCGCGGGCGTGGCTTGGCACCACCACTACGCACCTCTTCTGGGGCAGCGAGGACAAGGCCGCGCCCGTGCGGGCCACCCGCGGGGTTGACCAAGGCTGCCCGCTGTCCCCCGCGCTTTTCGCTTTGGCAATCGCCGACGCCTTAGACGAAATCCACGACGCGCTTCAGCTGCTCTCACCTGCCTGCAAAGTCTTCAGCTACCTGGACGACGTGATGGTGTTCGCCCCGCCGGAACACGCCCCCGCCGCTGTCGCCGTCGCGGCTGACGCCCTGACGCGAAGCGGCCTCTCGGTCGACCAGGGCAAGACGCAAGTTTGGGCCAAGGATGCCGATGCGGCTCTCCCGCCTGAGCTGACCCACCACCGGGTGCCCCACTTGAAATGCCTCGGAAACGCTGCCCCGTGGCTCGAGCAGGAGGAGGAGCGGGTCCGCCTGCACGCTGGCACCGACGGGGCCGCGGCTGTGGCCAAAGCCAACGCGTTCGCCGACAAGCTGGCCGCACTCCGCTCCGCGGGCCTATCGGCCGAGGCTGCCTGGACGCTGTTGCGCACCTACGCGCAGGGAGCAGTTACCCACCACCTCCGAGCCAACCACGACACGACCTGGGTCGACCCGTTCGACGACGTGATCTTCAGCAGCCTGGAGCACCTCGTCGGCGCGCCCCTGGACGCGTCCCAGCGCGCGCAGGCCACCATGCGGCTGAAAGACGGCGGCTGCTCCCTGCCGTCCGCCCGCCTCACTGCTGCCTACGCCGCCAGCTGGGCCCTGGTCCTCCACGAGGTCGCCGCAGGGGCTGGGTTTGCCACCTGGGAAGACCTCCGCGCGCGATGCCCTCTGACGCACCAGGCGCTCGTGCAGGCGGACGCGGACCTCCTGGCCCAGGGAGTGAAGGACGACCACTTCGACTGGCTCGGCGCCTTCCAACACCCCGTCCCCAAGCTACAGGGAATCTGGGGGGAAGCACGTTCTGTGGCCACTCGGGCCCGCCTGCTGACGGCGCTGGACGAGGAGGAGCGAGTGGCCCTTCGCGGGGCCGGCGGGCCGGGCGCCGGCGGCTTTCTGCTCCCCGTCGAGGAGGGGGACCCGGCGCTCCCGGACGCGCATTTCTTAGCTGCACTGAAAATGCGCCTCCGCTGCCGTGTCTGCCCCGATGGCACCACCTGCCAGCATAGGCGCGCCGACGGCACGGTCTGCGGCGCCACCCTTGACCCCAACGGGTGGCACGCCAAGAAATGCGAGGTTGGCGGCTCCCGCAATGCCCGCCATGACAGCATGCGGGACTGACACGCCCTCCTGCATACGCGCCTCACCGGCCACCACGCGGTGAAGGAGCAACGCGTCCCAGGGTGGGACCGCGTGAACAGACAGACCGGCGAGCTCCAGCTCGCGCGCCTCGACGTCGCAACCCGCGACCCTGCCACTGGACAGCCCGTTTACGTTGATTGGAGCATTACCTGCGAACACAGCACTTACGCCCCTCGCAGGCAGGCTTGCTCCAACAACGACGGGGTGGCCGCCGCGGCCATGGTCCCGGAGAAGCGCGCCAGGTACCCCCCCGAGCACGGGAACCTGGTCCCCCTGGTCTTCGAGACTGGCGGCCGGCCCTCCGACGAGGCGGCCGAATTTATTCGGACATACGGACAGGACATGGACTCGGCGGAACGCGGGGCCGCCCTGGAACCGTGTGGCGACAACTCAGCCGGCGCCTCCAGGCCGGGAACGCAGAGATGGTGTTGAGCGCCCTCAGTCGGTGAGCGCCCCGTCGTCACCACTGACGACCACCACAACCAGCAGGCTGACCACCAGCATCACCACCGCCAGCACGACCACCACGAGCACCAGCATCACCAGAAGACTGACCGCCGGCACGACCACCACGACCACCACCAGCACGAGTGACCCCCAGCACCACAACTACTAGCCACCACGCCCACCACCAATACGACCACCGCGACCACCACCAGTGCGACCGCGACGACCACGACGACCACCTCCAGCACGACCACAGCGACCACCCCGACGACCGCCGCCGCCCCCCGTCCCCCTCTCCCTTCCCCCTCCCTCCCCTGCCCCTGCCGGGCCGCCCCTGCCGCTACGCTTTTTGCGCGCCTGTCCCCTCCTCCTTCCTCCTCCTCCTGCTGCTGCCTTCCTCTCCCTTTTCTCCCTGTTGTATGTACTCGTGCGCAGGCCGGGCTTCAGAGGGAGGCCGGCCATTGTGTACAGGTGCGGGACTTCGGGGACCATTGCTCAGGGCAGCCCCCTGAGAGCTGGCGGGGGCGCCACACCCGCGGCCAGCGGAGGAGGAGGAGGAGGAGGAGGAGGAGGAGGAGGAGGAGGAGGAGGAGGAGGAGGAGGAGGAGGAGGAGGAGGAGGAGGAGGAGGAGGAGGAGGAGGAGGAGGAGAGGAGGAGGAGGAGGAGGAGGAGGAGGGAGGAGGAGGAGGGGAGGAGGAGGAGGGAGGAGGAGGAGGAGGAGGAGGAGGAGGAGGAGGAGAGGAGGAGGAGGAGGAGGAGGAGGAGGAGGAGGAGGAGGAGGGAGGAGGCGGAGGAGGAGGAGGAGGAGGAGGAGGAGGAGGAGGAGGAGGAGGAGGGAGGAGGGAGGGAGGGAGGGAGGGAGGGAGGGAGGAGGAGGAGGAGGAGGGAGGAGGAGGAGGAGGAGGAGAGGAGGAGGAGGAGGAGGAGGAGGAGGAGGAGGAGGAGGAGGAGGAGGAGGAGGAGGAGGAGGAGGAGGAGGAGGAGGAGGAGGAGGAGGAGGAGGAGGAGGAGGGGAGGAGGAGGAGGAGGAGGAGGAGGAGGAGGAGGAGGAGGAGGAGGAGGAGGAGGAGGAGGAGAGGAGGAGGAGGAGGAGGAGGAGGAGGAGGGAGGAGGAGGGAGGAGGAGGAGGAGGAGGAGGAGGAGGAGGAGGAGGAGGAGGAGGAGGAGGGAGGAGGAGGGAGGAGGAGGAGGAGGGAGGAGGTTCGGCCACGTCGCTGGCGGTTGCGTTCGGTCGATCCGGTCTTGTGGGTCGCTGTGTCGTTACTGCTCGGGGCTCAAGAGGCGGGGGTCCATGCAGACTGCTGTCGGGCAGAGCTTGCAGGATCCTGCAGGGCCAGGGGCGCGCTGACCCGGGCTCGGGTGCAGGATCCGGCGGGAGTCCTGCAGGATTTTGCGGGAGCTTGCAAGGCCTGACTGACCCGGGTGGGCCTTGAGCTGGGTCAGCGCGTCCCCGAGGCTCGGCATGACGAAAATCTTGGGGGCCCTGGGCGGCGCGCAGGAGCTGCGTTACGGTGAGAACCTGTGCAAGGGAGCAACCTGCTCGCCTCCAGGGCGCCCTGGGTTTCTCTTGAGAGTCGATGGACCTGCTGTGGGCCCCGCTCCCACACCTGAAGCCGAGGGACGCTCTGGGGTCTCGGGGTTGGGTTTCTTGTGGGAGGCTTCTTGTGGTCGAGCTCCTGCTGTATCTGGTCCATGCGTCCGCCCCGTCAGGTGTGGGTCGACGTTCGCGCGGCGATGCTCCGACGGAGGTCCCGTGAAAGACCGGCGTGAGCCCGGCGTGGATCAGGCGTAGACCAGATCTCAAGTTTCAGGAGGAAAAGAAACACACAGACACAATCAATCCTCGATTCCCCAGAAAAATATGGGAAAATATGGGAAGTGGGGGGGAAGACAAAAACCCAGAAAATATATGAAAATATGGGGAATTGCTTTTTTGTGTGTATGTATTTGTGTGTCCTTGGGCCCCTTCCAAGTTGACGCGCGAGGCCTCCAGGGTTTTGCCCATCGGACTCGCAGGCTCACGGGGCCCCGCCTATAGCACTGGCCTGCGCGCTTGGATGTGTGCTCCCCCCCCCCCCGCTGAAGCCGCGCGCCAGGGGTCCCTCTCGGCCCAGGTGTCAACGTTGCGTGCAACTATGGCCGAATGAAGAGCATCACCACCCACCAAACCACCCTAACCCAACCCGAAGGCTCAGATTTACCCTCGATTTCCAGTGGGGGGGGGGTCGGGAAACATCGAAAAAACTAGTGTGGAACCCTTACCCCCCCCAACCCGAAATTCGGGTCTTCGGGTTGGGTTGGGGTGGTCAGGTAGGTAGTCAGAACAGAAGCCTGGAGGTTGTTCGCCGTTTCCGGGCTTCGGAGGGTCCTTTCCAGGCCCCCGGGGGAGCTGCCAAGGAGAGGGGAGTTCGCCAATGGGAGACCCTGGATCCCAGAACCCGCCTCCACAGGGAGCACCCCTCCCACCAGTGCCAGAGGGAGGGATGAGCTCGCGAGCGGCGTCGGCCACCGCGCGGTGATGGGCCTGCGTGATCCCCTCGGGGCACCGTGGGGTGACCGCCCGTGGGCTCCAGGGGAACAGGGCACTCTCGCCGTGGCGCCCTGAGAACACAGAGCCCCCTCCCCTGCGGCGATCTGAGGGTGAAGGGCCCTCTCCTCGCGGCGCCCCCGAGGTACAGAGCCCCTCCTCGCGCCCCGCTCCAAGGGTGTTCGAAAGGCACCGACTACACACCTACACCGATCCTGGCCAGGCCGATCCTGCCCCCAGGATCGGTGCATGTGCCTTCCTGCCCACGCCAGGAGGGCGTACAGTCGGGGCGCTGCAGAAGGAACCCTTTTCGTTGGGGAGGGGCTCGGTGTTCCTCGATTGTGTTACAGTTTGCCCTGGGCGTTCCTTGGGCATTCCATGGGAAATCGAAGGTCAACTTATGGGAGACAGGGGCCTCGTTCCTCAGTTAGGGTTCCTCAGGTCAACGCCCCCACTGTATGCACCGATCCTGTGCCCGGCACGGGCACGTCCAGGACCGGTGCAAATGTGTACAGTCAGCGTCCTCTTCCCCGTGGCGCTCGCAGGGTCTGCGGAGCTCCGCTCCTGCGCGCGCGCGGGCGTGGCGCTCTCCATGCCGAAGGGCCTGCTCTCTCCTCGTGGCGCTCTGAGGGTACGGTGGGGGCGTTCCGTTCGTGCAAGGGTCTGCCCAAGTCGGCGTCAGGCCCTGGAGGATTCCCTATCTGATGAGGGCGGCGGTGATGTCCATGGCCAGTCCACGACTGGAGTTCCACAGGCTTCCAGACCCCGGACTTCTTATCCAATGGTTCCTCATCCGGTGCCCTCACCGTATGCAGAACCGTGTGTGCGTGCGCGGTGCTCTTAGTGCCTCAGATCGGGGGCGACCGAGGGGAGGAAGCGAGAAGGAGAGGGCCTTCTCGGAACGCTCGGAAGTGCCCCAGCCGTCTGAGAAGTCTTCTAAGCCTCCCCCGAGGACACAAACCTTTCAGAAGGCCAGAGGCCTTCTGAGAGGTCCCGCCGCCTTCTGAGAAGACCTTCTTCTCGTTTCCCCGTCTCGCTCGCCGGCGGTGAGAACCTCTCCTCCCTGTGGCGCTCTGAAGATACGGCATCCCCTCCCTGGTGGCGCTCCCGCGTGACCTGGGGACCACAGGCCCGGCCCATAAGCGGGAGGGCTGGCCCTGGCCACAACGCTTGACGTGTGGTGGAGGTGAGCGGGAGGGCATCGGGGGCGGCCAGGCGGGGGGTGATGACTAGGAGGAGGTGGATATCACTGCGGGGGCCATGATATCTCCCCAGGCTGCATGGCGCCTCTTCGTATTTCAATACGTCCCCGGCCCGCGCACATGCCTCGGGCCATGATTTACACACACCCCTCTTGGACGCCCCCGAGAGGAGGGACGTTGTTTGCACCACTGGCAGCGTAAGAGCTCCCTCGCCGAGTCAGGCACCAGCGTGAGCACGGCACTGCAGCGGCAATCGTTCACCTGTGACGGAGTAGTACCTCTTGGAGGCGATGCTGCAAGAGGCTTGCACATGAGAGTGAGCCGACATGGAGGCAGGAGGGACGAGGAAGGCAGGAGTGGAGGGACACGAGGAGGGAGGTGGGCAGAGGACGGAGAGGACCTCGGTCGAGGGCGCCGCACGAGGCCGAGGAGGGCGAGGACGAGCAGGAGGCCGTCGAGCAGCAGGAGGAGCTGAGCCTCCGCGGCCACCCCCTTGGCATCGCTCGGACGTGCGCATTTCTTTCTCGGCGAGAACCATTGAGGACCATCCTGGACCATCGAGCCAAAAAAAAAATACGCACCGAAGCCGAAAAATGCACGGGGAAATGGACGCCCGAGCGGCGGCAAGGCCCCGAGGATGTCCGTGGACAAGGTGGCCCAGTGGATGCAGATGGCGGGCCTGCCCGTCCCTGCGGAGGCCGGGCGCGGCTAGCCGCCCCGCCCGATCGAGCGCCCGAAGTGCCCCCTCCTCCTCCCACCTCCCTCCTCCCTCCTCCCTCCTCCTCCTCCCTCCTCCTCCCTCCCTCCCTCCTCCTCCCTCCCTCCCTCCTCCTCCTCCTCCTCCTCCTCCTCCTCCTCCTCCCTCCTCCTCCCTCCTCCTCCTCCTCCTCCTCCTCCTCCTCCTCCTCCTCCTCTTCCTCCTCCTCCTCCTCCTCCTCCTCCTCCTCCGTCGCACGTCGCACGTCGTGCCCCGCAGGGAAGTCGTCGGCCAACCCCAGAGCATGGCAGAGAAAAACTCCCCACCATCCCAAAAGCATCCGAGACCGCATCTCTTCGCGGATGGCCTTGCAGGCTCGCGATTGGGTAATACACTTTACTCCCAGGGGCTCGGGGGGGGGGCTTCGAACGCTGCTTTGAGCCCCTTGGGAGTTCTCCTCGTCTGAGCTTCCTTCGGTCACTCGTGTCTTACGGATGGCACTGCGGTTGAATTAGCCTGTTAGGCTTCACAACTGCGAGGTGCCCACACTTCGTACAGAACAGTACGGGGACGTCAGTGCCAACGATTGTGGAACACCATAAAGCATGATTAGGTCGATTGTCCTTGGTGGCCTCAACCACTTGCTGAAGTGTTGGAGGCAAGGTAAAGGATCGAGACGATCTCAGGGTGGTTCCGCCGCGCCGATGGCAGGACAGACACCCCGAGACACCATCATCCTGTATAGTAGTACGGGGTCGGCAGATCTGCCTGTGCCGCGGGCTCCTGGGCACGCGTTCCAGTTTCCCGGAGATGTCTTCCGAAGTTGGCCACAATTCAAGCATATCGAGCATGGCGTTTGCTACACTCTTATAGACTGCAAGACCCTCGCGGCAAGACAGAAGGTCAGGCTCGTGCACGTTATTTGTCCGTGCAGCATGCTTGGTGAGCTTATCAGCCCAGGCGTTGCCCTTTTATGTCGAGGAGTTCATCAGGGCTGCTAGTTTCAGCCTCATTGCGGGGAGCTTTAACTTTGCGGGGCACGAGCCTGGGGTTCCCAATGAGCCTCCAGCATCCAGCCTGGGGGCTTCCAGGACCCCGAGCCCTGGGCAAGCGGCCTGCCCCCAACATAACAGCTTTACAGGCAATGCCGATTTGAGTATCTCCTCAGGCTGCTCAGGACACGCACGTTGCCCTGCAACCAGGAGCGCATGCTGCTCGCCGCTCACGGCGGATTGGTGTGGGCCTCGAGGGGCGGGCCCGCGGAGGATTCGCTGCACCTCGCCCTGCTCGTCGACCTGCACAGCTGCCCAGCCGGCCCGGCTGGCACCAGGAAGGTCTGGGGACGCGACCCCTCACGATGTGGATATTTGTCCTGGGAAAATATTACAGAACCTACCGACTGGCCACGTTCGCTGATATTGAGCTCATGCCCCTTGGGGCTGGCCACAGCGTCAGGGGGAGGGAGCCAGAGTTGAGTGAAGAGGGGGTCACACGGCCCAAAATGCAGGGCCATGGCGAGCACCTCCGGGTTGATCGCCTCTCTGGCAGGAGCGAAATATGGACATACCAACGCTCGGTGGAATATGGAACCCTCGATTCCGCAGAGATAGCACGGCCCTGTAGCATTAAACCCCCACTTTTTCAAGGTGACGCCAGCGGTATAGCCCCCTGTAAAGACAGAAATGAACAAACGCCTACGCTCTAGATTCATCTTCCGACCGAGTAGCCGTCGAGCAGGAAGACTCCACAGTGCAGAACCCATGATATCCAGAGCTCTGTCATTGGCATTCGATCCCAATTTGCCTTGCAGGACGCCCTGCAAGAGAACCTGCCTGCAAGAAGGCCTCAGCAACAATAAGGGGTGGGGTGACAGTGAGGGGGTAATGGATTCCATCCCTGGCCGCAAACAACCCAGGATTGACCGCCTCCCACTCCGCCAGATCCGTCCACAGATGCATATCCGAAGGGGGGCCAGTGGTACGTTTTAGCCCAGGTACGGAGCCTGGATGGTTGTGCACGGCATCCAGGTTATTATGATGTGTTCCAAACAACTCTCGCACGGATATGCCATCGCCATGGGCAATCGTAGCATCAGTCGCCATCCACCATTCAGCGGCATAGCGACGAAGGGCCCCAGTAGCATGCTCAAGGGGATGCATTTTCAGATAAGATTCCAGCCCAATCGTCCAAGAACCACCGCGAGGGCTTGTGCCGCTGTGCGTCTCAGAATCGATACCTCCGACGGCGCATGGCCGGACACATCGCCCCCGTAAGTTGTTGCCGCGTGAATGCCAGCAAAAAACACATTGGCTCGCTTACTTTGCGGGCCGCGCATGCGGCGAAGTTTGACAAACCTCGGCCTGATCAAACGAAGTCTGTTGCTTTTGATGTTCCGTGCCCCTGGACGCTGCTGGTGTTTCCCCGGCCGAAATCAATGCCAAGATTACGTGGGAAGTCCTGGGCTTCGCCTGCCAAGGCCCAGCGCCAGCTTGGCCATGTCAACCAACTGCTGGGAAGTGCACGTAACCTTCAGCTTATTCCATGCAAGTCGTACTCCAAGAACATCCTGCATAAGAGTCGCCAAGGCACGCGCATGTCGTCATTTTGTGCACACAATAGAACGTGACGTGGTCAGCAACATTCACCGTCGAGTCATCTAATAAGTGTATAATGCGACTTGTGTTGTCACGTTGGTACTCGTTCTGCCATTTACACATGGTACTATAACAGAACATCCTGCGTATCATATGTACCAGTCGAAGTGCCCGCCACCAAGCCCCTACCTGGCCAAAGCGGGGTCGAGATAATCCCATCAATGTTCAGGTGGCGCCTCCATTTGCACGAGTTCAAAAAGGAACGAAGTACCTAGGCAGGGTAATGCACCTTTCGTCCTTCCTCCCACATCTTGCCATGGCAGACACAATCATAAGACTGTTGAAGGTCCCAAAGCAAGGACAATACAGGGCACCCATCGTGTGCCAGCGCTTCGCCGCGCACAGTCTGGCGCCAAAGGGTATCGAAAGGCCCCCTTGCCAGGGACCATGGAGAAAGCTGAGCCAACGGGAAGAGACTGCTCCCACTGCCTTGCCTGATATCCCAAAGTTTTGCCGTGCACCCGGAGCTGCTGGTGTAGAACCCAATCGGCCTTCTACCTCGCACAGGCTTGCGGAACAGTTGCATTTTCAGGTACTGCAAAACGGCAGGGGCAGTGCCAATGGCGTTCATGACCACAAAGATGGACGCAACAACGTTGAGCCCAGGGTCACACAGCAGTGCAAAGTGCCGAGGGTGAAACCGTCAACACGTGTGGTTCTCTTTTGAAACCTACGCGAGATGTGTTTTACCAGGGATTCCTTCTGCTGCGGAATACAAATGATATCCCCTTGTGGCGAAATATAAGAAGGAGTCCTATTAAGGTGGACTACGAAAGGATCCCCTTCGTGAGCGAAAAGCGCTGACAAAAGCAAAAAACACAAAAACACACACGAAGACATGATTTTGGGCAAATCTCCTTGAGCCATCGCCACAGTTCTGCAGTTGTCATGTTTTGTTGTCTGTTTGGATGTTTGGGTTTGTTTGTGTCTGTTTGATGTGATGGTTTCTTTTGTATCCCGCCTTAAAAGGAATCTCTTCGTACTCCGTCACAAAAGGATTCCCTTTGTATTCCGCCACAGAAGAGGTCCTTAGGAAATGAACTACAGAAGGAATGTGCTTGCATTCGTTCCACCACTCAAGGAATCCTTCTCTAATCCACCACAAGAGGAATCCGTCAGTTCTCCGCCACACAAGAAGTCCTCTTGCATTCTGCCACAAAAGCAATCGTTTTGCATTTCGCCGCAAAAGGAAACCTGCTTGTACGCGGCCACACAAGGATGTCCTTCGTATTCGGCCACAGCATGATCCCTTGGTAATCAATCTCAAAAGGATTTGTGTTGTATTCCACCACAAGATGAATCTGTTTTATATTCTGCCATAAGGAAATCCTTTTGCATTCGGCCACCAGGGGAATCCTCCCGTATTCCGCCGCAACGGGAATCATTCTTGTAATACACAACGGCTTGGTTGTCTTCGCCGCTGAAAAAGATAATGTTACATTCCACCGCAGAAAGAATTTGCGCATTACAGGGCATTCCGTTTGGGGTGGGAGATTGAAGCATCCAGTTGAGTGGAATGGAAGAGGGTTCTTTGTTGAGTGGAATACGGCGAATGACAAAAAGATGTGTTTCATCGGAATAACGGCGAAGAAGGTTCTTTGTCGAGTGGAATACGGCGGATGACAAAAAGATAGATTTCTTCACCTCCTCTTGAAAACAGAACACTCAAACCGCCCAGGCCTGCATCGTGCCTGGCGCGGGAGGAGGAGGAGAAAGAGGAGGAGGGTGGAGGAAGGAGGGCGGAGGAAGGAGGGAGGAGGGAGGAGGAGGGAGGAGGAGGGAGGAGGAGGAGGACGACGACGAGGAGAAGGAGGAGGAAGAAGAGGAGGAGGAGGAGGAGTGAGCGTCTGGAGAGGAACGACAAGGGGAGAGCCGG